AAACCCTGAACCCTACATCCTAAATCCTAACTCCTACACCCCAAACCCTAAACCCTAAACCCTAAACCCTAAACCCTACACCCTACACCCTAAACCCTAAACCCTAAACCCTAAACCCTTCACCCTAAACCCTAAATCCTAAACCCCAAGCCCTAAATCCTAAACCCTAAACCCTAAACCCCAAATCCTAAACCCCAAACCCTAATGGACCGCCCCCAGCCGGTCTTGTCTGCGTTGCATTTTGGGCCTTCAAGGCTTCGCCTTTGGCCCATCATGTGAGCTCTTGGCTTAGGGTTTAGGGTGTAGGGTTTAGGGTTTGGGGTTTAGGGTTTAGGATTTTCGGGTTCACGGTTTAGGGTTTAGGGTTTAGGATTTTCGGGTTTAGGGTTCAGGGTTTAGGGTTTAGGATTTTCGGGTTTAGGGTTCAGGGTTTAGGATTTTCGGGTTTAGGGTTCAGGGTTTAGGGTTTAGGATTTTCGGGTTTAGGGTTCAGGGTTTAGGGTTTAGGATTTTCGGGTTTAGGGTTTAGTGTTTAGGGTTTGGGGTTTAGGGTTTTAGTTGGTTTTGGGGAATTCACAGAGGCCCTTTCTGCAGAGTGGCACTTGACGATGGTTTTGTTGCGGGGGTGGGAGCCATGGCATTCTTGATAATCCTCACATGCGACTCATAAACCACAATGGTTTGGAGCAAGTACATAAGACTCTATCACACACGCCCAGTGTTTGTAGCTACAGCAGCATCAATACGACCCGTGGCATCGGGAATATCAGGAAAGCCCAAACTACTCGATTAACCAATACCAACGACAAAGTGCGCGCGGGGCTTCAACTTCAAGACAAAGCCACCCTAAACTCCAAACCCTAAATCCCACCGCCCGGAGGGCCTAACCCCCAAGCACTTAAACCCCGAAAACCCCTCTCTCTCCGAGCTCGCCATGTCCAGGAAGCCGCTTAACCCACAGCCCCTCTCAGCCGAGAGCCTCCGCTGTCAAGGTAGGAAACACTTCTGACGTGAAGACATGGGGCTGGGAGTCTCGGGCGTACCAGGCTACTAAGACCAGACTTGCAGGTTTAGGGGTCAGTGGGTTTTGGGTTTAGGGTTGGGCTCCCCCTTGATATTCACATATCATGCAGAAGCCCCATGCAGAAGCCCTATAAAACGAGCCCAAACTCCGGGAACTAGCTAAGGGAGCCCCTCACTCGTCGGGATTTGGCCTTAGGAGTAGCTGATCAACTCAGTGTGGGCCCAATTCACAAGAAATCCTTGCATACTTCTTAAGCATGGGAGCTAGGATTAGGGGAACCCTTGCAGATATAGACCCTCTCAATAAGGTTCCTTTTAAGAGGGCCAGAAGTAGGGTTCAGAAGGGGTGCCCTTTCAAAAATACCCCTAATAATACTACCTAAAGCAAAGGTAGGGCTTTTGGCCTCTATGGGTACGGCTTCGAGCTTACAGTAGGGCACGAACCTCTAAACCCTCATGCGAAAACTCTTGCATTCTGAGTCAGATATCGTCAAAATGCGAGTTCGCCGGAGACTCCATCCTGCCTTAGTTCACAGTAACATTGTTACAGCAGGCATCCTTCACCCGTGAAGCTCGCAGTCTACAACTAAGCCCAGCAGCCGTTTTTTCAGTAAGCCCTACAAATCCTAAAGTAGAGAATGCTGAATTCAAGAAACTTCAACATACCCTACAAACCTGACAAACTCCTAGAACAGGGGATCCTCAGTTCAGGCTTTTCGGAGCAAATGTCTGCTTAGTGCGAGGCTCTGCATGCTGAGCAGGAGTATTCCCTTTCGCGCAAATTCACTGAACAGAACTGCAGCATTCGTTTGGGGTCCCAGCGATATAAGCGCATCATGATATACTGCCTAAACAAATAACACAGTCCCGCCTCCATGAAGGACTGGAAAGCCATGAAAGTCAAACCCTAAATCCCTAGACCCCCAAACCCAAACCTAAACCCCAAATTCTACCTAACCCTCAACCCTGCACCCGCTCCCCCCACCCGCACGCCTCCCTGAGCTCGTCATGTCGGAGAAGCCGCTCAACCCACGGCCCTCTCAGCCGACAGCATCGCCTGCCAAGGTAGCGATGTCTCTGACGTGAAGACATGGGGGTTTCCGAAAATTAGGGACCCTCTTATAGTACCCTAAATTGTAGGATCCTTATGATACGGATCCCCAAATAAGGTACCCTAATTCTCGGAATGTGGGTAGTTCTCTAAACTAGGGTCCGTTTTTGGGGTTCCCAATATAGTACGGCACCCTTATAAAAGGGACCCCAAAAGGGACCCTAGTTTAGAGAACCACCCATGTGGCTGGGGAACTTCGGGCCTAGTAGGGTCTAAGGCTCAGTCTCGGCTTGGGGGTTCAGGGATTTCTTGGGGCGCAGGAGCTGTGCCCTTGAAAGTTCCAGAACACAACCCTAAACCCTAAATCCTAAAGCCTTACTAAACCCTAAACCCTAAATCCTGAACCCTAAACCCTAAACCCTAAATCCTAAAGCCTAAACCCTATCAGCCCTTCTCCCTTTGAAGGGGCTCTTTTCAGCCGCCCACGTCTGGCTGAAGTCCCGGAGGGCCGGGGGACGTGAGCTGAAGGATCTGCTAACAGAGAAGCCGGGGTTTAGGGTTTAGGGCTGCTTAGGGTTTAGGGTTTAGGGTTTAGGGTTTAGGGCTGCTTGGGTGTTTTTCGTCACCTCTTTTCCACCTGCCTGAGTCAGTTAGGTTGAACGCCACATGTGGAAAGGCTGTTCGTCCCGTGCTTGTTTTCCACAGTACCCAAAGGGTTTAGGTTTAGGGTTTAGGTTTTTGTGGCTTCTGTTCTATAGCTTTTGTTGAAGAACCCTAGGGAATATGATTCGGATTTTTCAGACCGTTGTAAACCCCTCATAACCTCACGAACCATGGTCCTACAAGGGGTTCGCAGGGTCTGATAGCTCACTGAATGTGCTTTAATGCTTTCATAGGCTTTCTGGGGCTTGGCCAAGGTTGCTTTTGCTGTGTCTTCAGGATTTGGGTCTACGAACATCCGCAGATCTTGAGCTCAGGCGCCCCCAGCAGGGCCTGTCATTCTGTCCCGGAAGACCCCATAGCACCCAATGCCGACACATGCCTTGGAGTCTAAACAGGGGGATTCCAAGCAGAGTCTAGGCTCGACATAGTACGAAGGGACTCCGGGTAGGAACCAGGGCCGCCGAAATCCAGGTTTGGCGCGGCGGGGCGCTTGTAGCCCACGGCCACAAGGGGGGAGGCTAGACAGGGACTACACGCCGTCCGCTCAGCGGACATGCAAGCGGGCCCGGGCCTGCAGCGTTTCTACGCCAAGCGCCTGGCTAAGGGTCTTATAGGGTTAAAGGGTTTCAGGGCCTGGGCCTCAATATCTGCTGGCTCGGACCAGATGGCACTCGCGGAGCTCTGGGAGAGAACCCAAAGAGCCCAATGCCTCTTAAATAAAGGAATAGACCTTAAATTCTAGGGGCCTTAATATTATGATCTTAAATGAAGCAATATACCTTAAATTGTGGGGGCCTTAATATTAAGATTTAAGGTATATTCCTTGTTCAAGGGGTATTGGGCTCTCTGGGAATGCACCGCGCGAATTTGAACCAAGCACGCACAGAAAGCGGGGGGCGAGAAGCGAGCCACTTCATCTGTACCAACTGCCGAGCTTGGCGACGCATTGTCTACCATGATATAGGGATAACAGACTATAATATACCATCATCTATCCTAGAATACTATAAAATACCATAATCTATCATAATATACTACAATATACCAATGATCTATCATGTTATACCATAATCTACATCTTGACAATCCCTCCCTACGCACTCCACATCCATGGCCTGCAAGCGTCGCTGCGAGTAAATGCAGACGACTTGCTACTTACGTGAACACCCGGCGACCTACAAGCATCACGAACGAAACAGTTCACAAGCTGGGGTCGCATTCTGCTGCTCGTATATAGATCTAGTACTCTTCTGAGTCGGTTCAGATGCTGAGTGAGGACATAAGAGGAGAAAACGGAACAGAACTATGCTGCGTTATTCTGCCGCCGGCGGCGAAACGGAGATGGCCAAGCTCATGCTGGTGTGGAGGAAAGTGGACCTTCCGATGCAAGCCTAGCATCCTCATCTCAGCTCACCAGACTCTCAAGTCATCGTCCTTATTGGGGGGAGTTCGGGGTTTAGGGTTTAGGGCTCAGGGTTTAGGGTTTAGGGTTTAGGGCTCAGGGTTTAGGGTTTAGGGTTTAGGGCTCAGGGTTTAGGGTTTGGGGTTTAAGACCGCCGAGCAAGTTTGAAGAGCTCAGGCTTCAGATCCTCTTTCGGGCTTCGATTTCTGCGACGGAACTGCACCAGGGGCTCAGGGCCTCGAACCTCCAGAAACCACGGGGAAGGGCAGCCTGAACAAGAAGGATCATGTAGAAGCCTTAATGGTTAAAATAGGGTTTTGGGGGTATATTATCCTGGAATCAGAAAAAGGAACCCCCAACATAGTACTGCTTTTTATTGAGGCTCCTATAGTATCCCCCAAACAAGATAGATCCGGCTTCTAGGGTGCCCCGGCCGCTGCCTTGAGAAAGCAGAGCGGCCCAAAACCCTGCATCTCGGGCCCTGGCACCCTCGAGGGTTTAGGGTTTAGAGGCTTAGGGTCTAGAGTTTAGGGTTTAGGGTTTAGGGTTTAGGGTTTAGGGTTTAGGGTTTAGGGTTTAGGGTTTAGGGTTTAGGGTTTGGGGCCCGCATACAGGGCTTGGGTCTATTATAGGGTTTGTGGTTTTGGGCTCAACACCCGCGGAGCGTCGCTGTCCGAGTCGTTCTCGAAGGCACGGTTTCGTGTCATGGTCTGAACAGTGGAGAGGTTGCCATCTGCCATCTTGCCCATAACCTCATCGGAACACAAAAAGCTGTGGCTTCCTCAACGACAAGGAAACCGAAAGAGTGCGAAGATGAGATTGAAACTGTGATTCTTCTCGGCTGACGTCACTGGAGTTGGTCGCAGCATGTGTTGGTGCATATGGGCCTGAAACAGAGGACCCCAAGAATGTACACCTTCAGTACACCTCTACCGGCTACCCTTGGTACAAAGAGACCCCTCATGTTTTGAACCAGCAAACCCGTCAGCTCCCCACAGGGCCCAGCGATCGGAAGCAATCGTGGCTTGGATTTCGTGTCCAAGGGGTTTAGCGACCATAGGTCCATAGGTTCTAGGCATTCTAGGCTGAACTAAAGGTTTAGGGTTTAGGGTTTAGGGATTTTCTTGTTGAGCTGCCATGCTGAAGCAGGGGTTCAAGGCTTACTGGAGCCGAAGATCTCACCCGGAGAAACGGAAGCTCAAGGCAGCAACTGAGCTCGCGACTTTAGGCACGGAGTCGACATTCCGCGCTCCGGGCTTTATCCCAAAGCGATGCAGGAACAGAGCGCCGCAGAGGCAAGACAGGCAGACCTTTCTTGAGAGTCTTGCTTTTTCTGTCTCCAATTTACGGCCTAGACGATTTGGACTTGAAGCCAACACTACGGTGCGGAGCCACCTAGGACAGAATACCTAACATGAAACCTCGCCTATATTCTGCAAGAAATCCGATATACATCCACCGACGCCCTGAATAACCTATTTCACACGAATTTCTTGCAACATGTTAGATGATCTGCAAGCTTTTCTGCTGCGTACTAAATGGTCTATAGGTTACATCGCGCAGACCTGACGCCAAGCTGTGTAGCGTTGCATCTTTTGACATAAGCTCTGCCCGGTCGCGAAGAGTGCTGCGACCACCATCATCTGAAAGCCTCGATTAGTTCGCGATGTCTGTTGGTGGAAGCTTCGTTTGCTTTCAGGTTCTTCATGAGCAACAGAAAACCCGAAACCCGAGACCCCAATATGCAGGCCATGCTAGCTAGTTGCTATGTCCTCTGATAGTCTCCACATAATTGCGTTATAAGTACGCCCCAAAAGCCTATGTTGAGGGTGCCCATAAACTGGGATGTGGGCTCAAGATGGTAGGAAGCCTGAAAGGCAGACAAGCCAACTCACCCGAGGCTTTAGAGTTTTAGGGAGAATCTGCCTTCACGGTTGTAGAGATTCTAAAGCTAAGGTTATGAGCATAAGACCTTTCGATTCAAGCGCCCCCACCCCACCCTCGCCCAAGCCGGTTGAGTGGAAGCCGAAACACGTCAAGCCCGAGACTCTGGTTGAAGGTTCGCGTACCCTGGATAGCTTCTTCGACCCTCCCAAAGCGACTCGTTAAACAAACCTTCTTAATTTATCCCTTCCCCTGATATTAGACGGATATCCCACCCCCGAATAAATAAAAACTGGGAAAGTGTTGCTATTATAAGGCGTTTTATCTGGATTTTGCTCTGGCTCCAGCTGTGGCTCGTGCTCCTCCGCTGGCTTTCACTCCTGCTCTTGCTTCTGCTCTTGCTCTTGCCTTTGCTCTTGCATTTGCTGTTGCTCCTACTACTGTTCTTGCTCTTGCTTTTGCTCTTGCTCTTGATTTTGCTCTCACTTTTGCTCTTGCTCTTACTTCTGCTCCTGTTCTTGCTCTTGCTTTTGGTCTTGCTCCTGCTCTTGCTCTTACTCCTGCTCTTGCTCATGCTCTTGTTCTTGCTCCTGCTCTTG